GTTAACCAGGTGGAGTGATTTTTATCGCAGACGGCTAATTAGTTGATGGACAGTGACTGGTGCCTGATGTGAAATACATTTTTATCTGTGTGCGTAAGTTGCGGTGCATGTGTGTGTGTGTGTGTGTGTGCACATGCCAATTTGTGCATTTTTGTGTATATGAAAACTTAAGGGCAGTGTGATAATACTGAAACTCTGACTTAGCAAAAAAAAAAAACTTCAAAAATATGTGGTTTGTGCTGTGGACAATATCAAAAGAGTGATAAGGAAAAAAGAAAGCAACTTTTTTGTCATATTGCGAAATACTTCTTAGTTGGCTAAAATATTAATCAATTTTTTCTGGCACTGATTCTGTTTTAAGTATTGTTCTGAGGAACCTGCCCCTTAGTGAGCAGTCTATGATTAGAATGTCCCCCGCTTTGTGTTTACATAATGGTAGGCGGGATAACAGGGAGAGTAGATAGACATTGTGTAAGCTCTTTATGGTTAGGTAACATAATCACATGCTCTGTGGAGATAATATGGTTCTTAGTTTAGATATCACTGCTGGAAAAAATCAGAGCACAACTTTTTTTTTTGCACCCGCATAACTCATGGAGATGCAATACATTGATGAATAAACAAACAGACAGACTGACAAATAAATAAACAAACAAACCAAATAAGTAAATGTATAAGTAAATAACTCTGGTAGTAAAAAAAAACAAACATCTGAATTGGAAATCGTACTTCGGGTGCCCAATTTTTAAATTTTTTAATTTTGTAAATTATGAAGATGGCTAAGTGAAGTATTAAAGTGCATGATACAAATTGGTACATAAATAAGAAAAATGGAAGAAGAAATGTTAACCATTCCTGATTATTGCCTGTAAATTTGTTTTTGGTAATGCTACATGTGCAAGCCAGCAACTTAAGCTGGGTTCTCAATTTTCTTCTTTCTTTCTTTCTTTTCCTTTTTTTTTTCTGAGATAACAAGAGCATGAGACATACTGATAGACAGCGCCCTCTGTGAGGTGATATTGTTGGGTTGCTGTTCTCGACTTATCAGCAGGGGAAGCTTGTTTGTGCTGTCACAATGTTGCCAGAATCAGATAAGACCCATTGGCTAATTTAAACCCTGGAATCTGTTTCAGATGAAAAAAGCTTTAAGTCAAAACTTAAAAAGTATTTTAACATACTGTTAGTCCAGGTTTGTCCCCTGTTGTAAACTATACATAAATTTAAGTCTGTGTTGAAGTGAGTTTACTTTATTAGCTCTTATATTTCTACTTTCTTGTGATATCCTGATTTTAAATGTCCTCATTAAATGACCTGAAGATTTCACTGCCTCTGGGTGCCCCTTGGGGGGGGGA